TTCCTTCGCCCCAGATTAAAAGCAAAGTTACCTTTATTAGTGAAAGCATTTAATTCATTTTCTCGCTTTCAAACTGTTCTTTGTCATTTGCCTTCCCACTCCTGCAGCCCCAGCGTGGAGGAGGAACGACTGTGGGACAGAAACGTTCCTGGTGTGTGGGGCCATGATCTGCACTGACACGGGATTTTAGAAGTGGCAGCTGTCCTGTGCTGTTTTCCTCTAGTACTCTAAAGTCTGAAGCTGCAAGTTAATAAAGCCCAGCCTTACTAAGAGAGGAGGGTGAGGTAATTAGAAAGTCGTGCTGGGAAATGTCAGTCCCGCCGTTCCTGCGCCGCGAAATCCCCGGATGCAGCGGCCCCGAGCGGGGCTCTGGGTGTGCAATAAGGCAGGGTCGGGGCACCAGCCATTTTTAATATTCCTGGTGAACTTTGGACCATCACAAGTGCACGTGAGCCAAGAATGCAGGATGCAAACTAATGTGACTGATAGGCTGCGAGATGAATGGTGATTCAAGTATCAGTGCACAGATGGTTCTGATTTGCTGAGTTTTGTAGCTGCTGCAACTGAAGACATAAAATATCCTTCTAGTCATAAATTAGCTCTTTGGAAGCAAAACCTTGGCACCAGAGCTTTACAACCTTCAATTAGTAGGGAAAGAAGTATTTGAATGACTGTGGTATTGACATCTGTAGGCCTGCATAGTAATCATTCCTAATAGAAGAGAATATCTGTTTGAGGGGGTTTTGCATGGCTAATTAACCACCAGTGAGAATATGTAATTTTTTCATGATCTCCTGATTGTCACCTTTCTCTCATGATACAATTACATTTTATTGTAGCAAGTGCCTCACAAACCAATTGTCAGCACTATTTACGTATTGGGGAAGGCAGAACAAAAGTTCATGTTTAATGAAAAGGCACTGGGTTTTGATCTTGGTAATTACAGATACTTATTTTAGCAATTTTATTGACTTTTCTGGTTTTATCACTTTTTTTTTTTTTTGTTAACAAAACCAAAAGCTACTTTGGTGACAGGACTTGAAGGCTAGGACGTGGTGACCACTTTGTCCTCGCTCATTTAAGCAGCTTGTTTTAAGTTTGCACTGTTTTCTGAAGTGACTGGAAGCATCAGGTAGCTGTTAGCTGATCTCCAGCTGATCCTGTTGGATCTCTGTTTCACAGGAGCCTTTGATTTCTTAGTCAGATACTGAATAGTAAATCTTATTTCCTTCTTATTGCCTGGCCTAAGACTTGACAGTCAGCAGCATAAAAGATGAGCCTGACCTTCCAGGCTGCAGGAGCCGCTGCAATTTGCTATTTGCAAGTGCACAACCCCCCTGGAAAATCCCTGGATGAGGAGTGTCAGTTCTCACCACTCCCGTGCCACAGGACTAAGTGGAATTGGTTCTGATGGCCAGAAACAAGAGCAGAATGTCTGTGTATTACTAAGTCTTGGCACCTGTCACCACTTTTTCAGAGAATTCTGTAATGCTGCCTCTCACTTCTTGGAACAGCAGGAACGCCAGGATCACCTGGGTTGTACTGGAGTGTGTTCCTGCAGTTCTGCTGCTGACACGAGCCAGTTTCCTCTAACAGTCACTGCACAACAGCTGCAGAAAGGCAATTTTAGGGTTTTTCAAAGGATTTAAGGAGGACTTGTTGCAAGTAGAGAGGGCAGAAAACTGAACTCTCTCCAAATGTGTTGCCCTTTTCAGAAAATGCTGCATTTCAGGGGCCTGGTGCACTTGGTGCTGCAGTCCTGACAAAGTGCTGCATGCCAGGCAGGCTCTTCCCACTGCATCTCTTCATGGCACTGTCTGGAGTGATCCCAGGTCTGACTCTTCATCTCAGCATTCCCTTTGCACCTCTCCTGTTCACCAAACACCTCTCACATTAAAGAGGCAGCCTAAGAATAGTGGGAGCCACTACAAACAACCACTGTTGCCTCACTTGCTGCTTGTGAGCAGGATCTGGTTCTAGTGACCTGTGTGATTGCACCTGTACCAGTCTGGTACAGGTGGCTGGGGGTTAATTCCCTTCTGAAAACCAGTAAACACCTGTAAGTACCAGCCAGGGGATCCTGGAGCAGCAGCTCCTTGAAGAGGATTGTTTCAGAGCATGGATTTTAGGATACAGCTCCCTGGATAGTTATCTGAACCTAATCCTGAGATGACATTAAAAGCAGTGGCTACATCCTGGTTCATTGTTCTGATTGCACACCAAACACAGGTGATAAAATACTAATTGCATTAATTCTCAAATTTGTTCATCACAGTTTTGGCTCTGGATAAACATTTTCAGCTTTCCCCCTCTGGTGAAAGTGCTGGTGTTGAGACCAAAGGAAGGGTGGTGACACCAGCTCCCTGCTTGACTGAGCTTGTAGATACCAGATTAAAAATTAATTACATCAGTACCAGCCTGTAATTCCATTAGTGGGGAATACAGTCATTTTTAGGTGTAAAATACGTATTTTTTAAGCGCTTTAAGTTCTGTTTGGGAAGTGATGCAGTTGTTTAAGGTGTGTCTGCGTGGTGAAGATGATTGTTTGGGGAATCTGTGGAAATGCTGACCTGAAGTTTATTTTCTAGAATCCTTCCCAAATACAGCACAACTCTACCTTGGTACTGGTTTGAGGAAAACATTTCTTGATATTTAAAATGCTGGGAAATATTCTTTTGAGAAAGAATCGCTCTCATTCTGTGTTCTCGTACTGGAGATGGAACAGTTTTGTGTGAAATGCAGGCTTTTTTCACTATATAAAATGCTCACTGTGCATCCCAGGTTCGCCTACCAAAGCCTCCACCAAAACCAGCTCAGCCCAAGGGAAAAAAGGTGGAAGGTGGAGAAAACACCTGTCAGAACAAAGCCTGTGCTGGGGGAACAGGGACACAACTCCCAGGTGAAGAAAAGCCAATTAAACTGAACAGGAGGCCTCAGCAAGCAGAGCCTCAGCAGGTGAGGATTTGGGCACACAGCTCTCCCAGGAGTTTGCCTGCTCCCTGAGCTCCATGTCCAGCTTTTGGGGTGGGCAAGGAGGAAAAGGGTTTGAAAAAGACCAAGTGCTCTGTCAGAAACCCAGTTAGCTGGCAGATTTTTAGTGGTTTCCAGTATTCCAAACGTGAACCTCAGTCTCTTGTAGCCCAGGGGATGAGAGCCAGGAGGGCAGTACCTCACCTGGCCCAAACCTGGGATAACTCTGAATGTTCCCGAGTTCCTTTCAGCTCCCGGAGTTACTGTCTGTACCTCCCCAGGCTCCCTTAGCCAAGCCTTCAGCAAGAGCTGTGGAAGTGAAGGAAGGCAGGGGGCAGGAGGACAGCTCCAGCTGCCTGAGCAGGCCCCACGCCCGCGTGCCGCGCCGGCAGTGCCAGGCGGAGGAGAAGCCGCTGAGATGTTACAGCTCAACTGCGGAGCCCGAGCACCCACTGAAGGTGAGGGGTTGGGCTCACCTTACAACAGCCTTGGTGTCCTGAGAAGGAAAGGTCAAGCTCTTCTTAAAATAAGGGTTCAAAATCCCACAAAGCCTAAACTACGTGTGTGCCAACTCAGTGTTTGCCACAAACACTAAAGGTCATAGCACTCAATTAATTAAGTTGTTAAATCTGAGGATTTCAGTAGTTAACTAACTCACCTTAAATAATATTGCTAATTTAGTGCATAAAAGGGCTGAATGAATGTTTTCAGTCTTACTCTTCAACTCTACAGGAAAAAAAAAATGAAAAAATTAATCAGAGTTTTAGTACAAATAACGCAGAGTAATTTATATCTCAGTGATCACCCTGTGCTCCTTTTCTCTGGAGCTTCAGTGTATTTTAGTGAAGGGATTCCACCCTGTTTTACCTCCCTATAAAAAAATAACTTGGTTAAACGAGGACAGTTTCTAACAGGCACAAAAATGCAACTTGAAAGGTAGCTTTATTATTAATCTGAAATTCTTTGCTTCAAGCAGTCTGATCATCACTGCCTGGAGACTCCGGTACAAGCTGGGAGAGGGAAGCAGAAAAAGCACAGCTGTACCTGAGAGCACCAGGCAAGACAGTGGTGAGCAGAACCATCTGGGGAGATGTTTTGGCTGCCAGCAGGGGAGGTAGAGTCTGAAAAGTCAAATTTTTCTCATTGAGGAAAAAAAGCATGAGAAGAAAAAAAAAATAAGGCAAGATTCTATTAGTTTCATTTTGCAGAATTCCTCTCATGTAATTCAGGAGCTTGGTAAAGGAAAGCTGTCTAGGAAAGCACAGCTGAAGGGTTGGCCCTTGTGCTAAGGGCCAGTGGAAAAGACAGTCAAGTGTTGGTGAGAAATGCAAGGGTGGAGTTTGGCTAAGGATGGCATTGCTGCTGGAGAGCCCAAAACCACCACCCTGGCCAAGGGAGGACAAGCCCTGTTGGCAGGTCTGTGTTCTCTGTGATAGGTCAGGAGAAGTTCAGCTTCTCTGTGAAATGCAAAACCTACACAAATCAAAACAGCAAATCCAACTTCATGTCTCAGGTTCCAAGGGTAAACCTTTATTAGCCCAAAACCAAGGAAGACTGAATATATTAAAGTTTTTTGGAAACAAGTTAAAGAGAGAATAAAATTTCAGCTCTGGACCTCAGTAGTAAATATAGACTATGTATCTTTACCCATACCTTATGTTACACACTGACTATACAATACCCATACATCACAAATTCCAGAGGTAAGGCTCTCTAAGAACTGTATTGCTTTCTCTGGGATAACTTAAATACCCCAGAGTTTCTTTCTGATTCACATCTCACTTAATGTTAACGACTTTATTATTACTCTTCTTTTCCTCTGCAGAAAGACACTGCAAGAGATGTGCCACCATTTGACCCCTACAGGATATTCTCCGAGTCCCGAAAGAAATACGACCACCTGCTCAGTGCAGTCCGTGCAGTGCCATCCCAGGCTGGCCCTGCCACCACTCGCCCTTCCATGGCTGTTGTATTTAGGTTGGCCTTTACTGACCAAACGTACCCCTACACTGCAGCTGTGCTGGTGCTCCTGCTGCTCATTGTACTGTCCTTGTATCTGCTGTGATGTTGCTGCTTTGGTGTCTCCACTGTAAGTGCAGTGGGGTTCCCACCACGCAGTTTTTCCTCAGTGTTTCTTCGTCGAAGATTTCAGCGTCAGGGGCTTGAAAAAGAAGTTTTAAATAATGCAGTCAGTACATACCTTGGGCAGGCACGTTCTCTTAAACCTTCCAGATCTGCACTAGTAGTTATGGATGCACTGAACTATTTGTGCTGCTTTCTGTTGCAAATGTTGGGATTCTTTTCAGTGTGTTTTTTTTTAAACCGGACCTTTGTTACAGCAACAGTAAAAATATCATAAAGTACAACTGAGTGTGATCTTTAATCACTCTGGCACTAGTGTGTTGTGACTGGTGTGGAGCTGCCTTTATACTGTGTGAGAAAACCTTTCGTTAAACACTGACACATTAAATGCACGGGAATTTAGTTTACTCCGATGTGTAAAGACAGAATTTGTGGCTACTATTTTAAAAAAGAGAACGGAAGGTTAACTTTGATGAAAAATTAACTTTGCTACTGGCATTGCCTTTTCCTGAGCTCCCACACACCCTTTAGTTCACTCCTATTCCTTGGATTTCCTTACCTTATTGCAGTAGGGACATTCGCCAAAGATGACATTAAAGCTCTGCCTGCTGGTAGGAAGGCCTTGTAGCCACTGCAACACAAGGAAGGGGGTTAAAATGCACATTGGTTTCACATCAGATTTAAGAACCACCTATTTATTACCAGGGTTCAGCTGCTGAACATCTGACACAGTGCACTGAAAGTCAGAGGGGGCAGAGCTTATGTAGGAACTGGGGGTGAGAGGGCAAACGGAAGCACGGTGACTGTGGTAACGTCCCTGATGGGATTTTGCTTCATCTGGAATTGAAGTGGGCAATGGTTGTTTTCTAGGCCCTGCCAGTTCCTGAGCAGTTGGTGCCATTAGCTGCTTTACCTCATAGAGACAAGCCTGGTGGAAGGGCTGTCCACAGCGGGGCTCGTCACACACTTGGTCGGGAGCGGCGCCGTCCAGGCGATAGGCATAGCAGATCCCACAGTCCTTGGCAAAGTCCTGCAACACAGCAGGGTTTGTCACAGCAGCTGGAAGGGACCAGGGGGCTGCTAACACAGCAAACAGGCTCATCTCTGTCCTTGCTTTTGCCTTCTCTGTTAGCTAGAACCACTGTTCCTGCCTTCAATATAGAAATGGTTGTGCCTTAATGGCGGAGAGTAACGCTGGCTCCCAGATGCACAGGACTGTACTGGGTTATATTTTATATCTAGTTCAACAAGCTTTTTCATACCTTTGGGCCCATTTTTTTTATCAACCACGATGATTTGTCATTGCATTTCACCATTAGACACAAGCCCTCAGTCAGATCTTAATTTAGAAGTTTCACAAGTGAAAGCCAAGCTCATAATCCAGTGTTAAAGCATTGTCAAAAATTAATTCCCAGTTTTGTTTGAAATGCACCAGTATTTGGATGGCCTCTTGTCCCCTCTAGGCAGCTCTACCTAATTAGAACCAAAGTCATCAACATCCATAACAGAATGTTTGGATTGTCCACATCTCATTAGCTACTCTGGAACTTCCTCTTTCCCTTTTAATAGTGGAGCCTGTTATTAATGGCCTCTGTGCTAGGAAGGCCACAGGGAAGTGTGCACCTCTAATCAAAGGTTAACAAGCTCTGACAACTGTTGCTTGAAGTTCAGAAGTCCTCGTGACAATATATTAATCCAATTACCCCTCTTCTAAGTCCCTTATTTTTCCTGGCTGTTACAAAGTGACCATTTAAATGTCCCTTATTCAGAAATAACAACTGATCATTAAAGAAAAGCAACTCACGCTTTTTTCCAACACCGCACGAGATGGAAACTCAATTTCTAGGAGGTCTTTCAAATTTTGTAACAAACTGATTTCTGGATCCCTGTGGGTGGGAGAGAGGGAGAAAAAGTTCCACACCAGGAATGGCAAACCCCATTTCAGCTCCAAGCCTGTTTTCACTACAGACACTCACCACAAGTGCATGTTGTTGTTGAGCTTAGTCCTCAGAGGGGCCACTGCTGCAAACCAGGGACAGAACAATCACGTCACCCCACTGAACATCCCAGATTTCAGGCAGGGGTTGGATTGACGAAACAAGTGGGGTCTGCTGCCTTACCATGATCTGCTCCGAGGAAATAACACTCTGGAAGCATGTTTGGATGGCGAGGATCTACCTCCACGTTCACAGAGACGTTGTTCCCTGCAATGAGAAAGCAGGGAAGGCCATGGGGAAGCTTTGCAGTCAAATATTAGAAAATGGAAACATTTTTAAAGGCTGTTTAAAATTGGTTAAATCAGCCTGGGTTTCACTATGACAAATAATAAAAAAGTTGGGAGGTATCCAAATGAATTGTACAAAATATCAGTGTATATGAAATATTTGCATTTCAATGGACTGTAATTCAAAATAGCAACTGATTAAAAAAACCTGCCAGGCTTGCATTTCTTTTAGACCAGTCTTAACATTTCTGAATAATCAGACTCAAGCTAGATGACTAAACCCATTGGAAATCGTAGCAGCACTTTAAAGGTAGCAGAGATATAACTTATTAATTCATCATTATCTTTTATAGCCAAAAAGAGAAGCCTAAGGACACTATTAAGCAGTGACAGTCACACCTGGCCTGAGCCAACAACGGTGGGTTTTCAAACAGCAAAGTGCAAAGTGAATCTTTTTAATACACAAAATAAGAGTTGTGTCTTTGGGTTTTTACCTCTCCAATCCACTGTATCCCTTCCAACCTTTTCCTACCTATTGCAATCCTCCTGGCTGTGGCGCTCCGGGTGGGATTCTCCGGCTCGAGCACCCACGTCTTCCCATCGATTTCATCCAGCACATCCCAGAATTCTTTCAGTGACTCCAGTGCTGCCAGGAACTGGTTGTAAATGTCTAGTAAGGAGCTCTAAGAAAAGGAAACAAATTTCCTATGGTTTCCACCTATGGCCAGAGAGAATATTTAAAAACCCAACTGTAGGTCGTTGAAGGAGTGTTCAAATCCATGTGTGTGTCCCAGTGTGTCCTGGGAGCAGAAAACATGGAAGCTCACTGGGTTTTTAACTGGAACAGCACAGGGAAAGCTGTACCCTGAGAACACTTTACTCCTGATAGTTCTAACATGTGCTATACATTCATCACGCCTGGATTTGATAGTGGTTTATACTCCTTTTTTAAAAAGCTGGGAGGAGCTATTAATTTACAGTGTAACTTTAAAAAAACAACTCTAAAATTAAAGTAAAATCATCCTTTATCCTCATTATCATCACTGTATTATTATTAACTTTGACATTCTGATATTTAGTCTCTACTTGAGCTGAGCACCACAACAGTGTTACCCAACAGAACTACAAAGAAATACCCACAGAACCAAAGGAGCTTGTTTATTTTTTTAAAAAATATCACTTACCATCATCATAATTATCTCAAAATCAAGTAGTATAAAAACCCAGGTGCTTAACATCAGATTTCAAACCATGTAAATAAGGCAAGAGGAGGAGAAACGATCTAATAATCAGAGGATTATACTTGGGGGATTTCAATATTTGAGAGTGGATTACATGGAATCAGAAAAATCTTTCATTAGACAGGACAATATACAGGACAATGCAAAAGAAACCCTTTAAATTATAAAAAAGAAGTAACTATTTCTACAAGGAAAGGCCTCTGCAAGGGGAGAAAACACTTGGTGGTCAAGTGAAGCCCTTTGCAGGTGCCCAGAGAGAGCTGGATTTCAGGTATCTTGGGGTCCAAAAGAAAAAGCAAATTAAATGTTCTGCTCTCAGAGAGGTATTTTTCTATAAATAAAACAAAATACAGAGGGAATGGTTTCCTTTAATCTGCAGTGATTATGTTCTTTCTTTCTCACCTGGACAAAGAGAAGCAAATTATCTGAGTGTTCTGAGATGAAGAAATAGGCTTTTTCTCTGTAATAACTTTTTATATTTGGTGATACATGTTTTAGAAAGAAATGGCACAGCTTAGAAATAAAATGCTACATTTTTTCCTGCTGTTATTAAATTATATTAGAGTAGGAAAGCACCTAAGCAGAAAAGTGTGAACACTGCCAATCTCCAAATGTAACGCTTATTATCTTTAAAAGCATTTTGTTACTTTTATAATACCTGAAGTGATATAATAGTGTCAGTCACTTAACCACATCTTAGAGTATGGTATCTTCATCTTAAGTACTATTATTTCCAGTATTTTAATAATTTTCACACAGTCCTGAAATGTGATCTTTTGTGCTCTGATGACACTTAAATTAATAGCATAATTTTCTGGTACTTGCAACAGTTGCTTTCCATTTTGATTTTTTACATTTTTCTATATCACATACAGATAAATCCTCTAATAATCATTTTTATCTTTATCTTCCGGGAATTCAAAGGGTTTCACTAGAAAAAAGAAACATCAAGGGATTGTAACCCACAGATAAGTTTTAAAATCCAATTAATTTTAATACTAATTGTAATTTTTCAATGATGTTCCTTAAAAAGGTAGTTAAATCTTTTTTTTTTTATACACTGTTCATTTGATCTTATTTGCATGCTTCATTGATGTTGCCAGCTGTCTCCTGCTATAGACATAAATGCATCTATAGCTATTTAAATATATCACCTGCTTGTCATGCAAGCCATGAAAACCACAACATTCCTTTTTATTCGATTAACAACTAATTTTTGGTCCTTGCCAAACACTTTTAGAGCAGCCTGACTGTGCTTTTCTCTGGTCTCAGCTACACCAAGATGGTTGTTAATAATGTCAAGCAGCACCAACTCTTTGTTTCGTGGTCCCTTTTGTACAAATGTGTTGGAATTTGTGTGAAATATGTCCAAATTCTCTGGAAAATAAGACAGTGATAAATCAGACTATCGATGCTGCTCACCCTGACCCAAAAAGCACTTACAAAACCAAACTGCTTCCTTCCTAAACGTTGATTTTAATGGTTCCTCAGCCAACTTTGAGCCCAAAGTTACCTCCGTGTTATGACTCCCTGTATCCCTCATCCCTTTCAACCACTGGTAAGGGATGGAGCACTCAGTTTGGCCAGGGAAATATTAAATCAAATATTAGTAAAAAAGTTCTAATTAAGGTAAATACAGCACAATTGATTACGAACTACTTTTCTTAAAAAGCTAAAAATGTGATCTTTTAGCTAAAATTCTTCCTAGAGTGCAATTTGCTTATCCAAAATTAAAACAACTGCAAAAGCCCCCTAATGGAAAAGGTGAAGTAGCCTAAACTGAAGGTGCTGACACCTGCTTGCCCTTCAGGAATTCACAAATAAAATAGAATTTAACAAAGCCAACAGCTGTTGGCTGGGAAAGGGATCGCTTGTATCACCTAAAAAATTTGTGATTCTTCAGATTTGTCAGGAAATTGTTTCCCATGAACAGTAGTTTAAACAATCTCCCCCCTCCTTAACACAAATCAAACCAAGAGACAGCACTGAAATCTTTATAAAGTGTCTTGTCAGCCATCTCCTATTTACAGCTGGTGTCTGTGAAGCTCCTTTGCCAAGAAAAAGCAAAATTATGAAGTGTTTTATTGTGTTTTCATCGAAATAGCCAAAGAATATTCTCGTACATACACTACACCTCCTGAACCTTGTCTCACTGTTTCCTTGCCTGCTGCTGCACGACCTCATTAGTCATTAATTCCCACTCTCCTGACCTTCATGTAGCCACCCAGGTGGGCAGTGGGCAGCACAGAAAGCCCCCCCTGCCGCGAGGGCAGCGGGACAGACACCCTGAGCCTGCAGCACCGCCCGTACGGCGGGGGCTAAAACTGGAGCCAGCACATCCATGTGCTTCTCCAGGAAAAGGAGAGAACAGAAACAAGTAGATGTTCTTGCACTTGTCATTGAGAAGCACTCTGCATTTATTTGGCACTTAGAGCAGGAGCAGCAGCAGCAGCATTGCCCTTGGTGCTGATTTCTTACCACTCTAAAACGTCTCCTCCGAGCCAGAATCCACTGGCTGTTGCTGCTCATGCTGTGAGACACCTGCACTGGCTACTGGGCTTGTCATGACGCACAAAACCCCACCATCTTCAGCTTGACATTGTGCAAGTTATAATTATTCATCCAAATGAATATGTCAGAGCAGCAGCAGCAGACCTCTCATCAGCGCAAAAGAAAAATACATCAAAACATTATCAACCCAGCAGGAAGACAGGGACCATAAGGAAAATTACCCATTTTTAATATGGATGCCATAAAGCCATGTCTATTATTATACAGAAGGGGGGGAAAAAAAAAAAAAAGAAAAGAAAAAAAAAAACCAACCACCCAACAACCCCTCAAGTTTAAAGTCCGTGAGCCTGAAATAGGCAGCAGCACACGCAGGGGGTGGAAAGAAAAATCAATTACCTGAAATCTATTTATATTTTCTCTCATGGGAGTTTATAATCTAATGGTGCAATTGTCCCTTTTTAGTTAAGCCTTGTCAGTTTGTACATTAAAGAAGACCAATAAAGAGTAAAATGTAAGACCTATGGGTGCCAAAACATCCCGTTATTTTATGAGAGAACAGGTATCGCGTGTTCTTTTTCCCTTTGAGGAACCCAAATTTCCAGCCACTTGAGCACCAGCTGAATTCTGCTGCCAGGGGTGTTTCAGCATTATCTAAGCTTAACCCATATTTTAGCACGGTGTGAAGGCTGCTCACTGCAATGATTTCCACACATTTGGAAAATAAACACAATTTCCACAATTACCACAGCCATTTGTTGGGTTCATGTCACCCACGCAGACAAGGTCAACGTTCCAAACCTCCTGTACAGCTCAAGCCCTTCTGGCAGCACAGAACACGGGCTGCTGGGATTTGGTGCAGGATTAGAGCAGCTCTCTGCAGCTGGAATGACTGTCTCGTGATTTCAAAACAGGCTCTTCAGTTACACACAAACATCTATTGTTCATGTTTTCAAACAGCCCCCAGGTAATTCTAACTGTAAAAAAGAGTTTAAGCATCGGAATGTTGTATTTTTAACACTGGATTTTCCTTGGTTGCAGTGCCAATATTAATATATCCGGCCCCGTTTTTAACTTGTCAAAGGCTGCTCCGTGTCATGTTCTTATAGAACATTTTATTAAATTACAAGTCCTGCCAGTAGCTTTAAAATTACTAACAGTAAACATGGAGAAGCAGTGACTGTCAGGGATATTTGAAGTGTTGTTAATTTGAGGCAACATAAACTGCAAGGCTGTAAAATTAATAAAACACTGTTAAAACTATGTATAAAGTTTGAGGTTAGAAACGGCACTTGAAATCCTGCCCATAGTTTATGGACTCCAGTAGAATTTAAGGGAAAACCAACATCTACTTAAACTGTCCCAAACCACCCCAGAGAACCAAAACCTAAATTTGCACATGAAACTAAATATATTTTCATTTGCAATGCCTGATTCTTGCAGTTATTTGCTCAAGCTCCCAATATTAGAGGGGGACACACAGAGCCTTGAGCTTTGCAGTCAAAATTATATGCCCAGCTTAAACCCCTCCTGCTGCAACCTTCCAGCCAGGAAATTTAGTACCAAGAGAGGCTTTATTGCTGGGGAGAAACCCTTGTGAGAGCTGGAATTAGCAGATGCAATCATTTATGTAAAATCTATTTTCCCGAATTAAGTGAAATTAAACATCAACTATTTTCTAGAGATAATTCAAATTAACTTACATCTAAGTGGTCACATAAAATTCATTTAATAAAGTACACATGATTTATTCAGGAAAAAAGGCACATGAAATAATGTGAGAGACTAAAAAAAGACAATGGCTCGTGATTCTTTATAGTAACAATATCAGTCAAAATAAGAAATCAGAATTCCACTGAATACTTCCCTGCTTTGATTATAACTGGATTATAAGTTTTATTATGTTATGAGAACTCTACAGGATAACCAAGTGGGGGACTGCCCTTTTTTTAATGTCTGTCAACTTCAGAGGGTGCTTCTTTCCTAGAAGACAATCATTTTTCATGCATTTCACTTCATTTTCCCTTTCCCAATGTAATTCCTAAAGGAATTTCAGCCACATGAACAGCTTAAAAAACCCCAGCCAGTGTGAGTGCAAAGATACAACATGCAAAGTAGATCTCCATGGCAAGGAAGAGCTTTCAGATGCTATGATCAGGAATGCAGAGTTCAGTGTTCTTACACTTTCCTGGGCAATGCACAGAAATAAAATGCCCACGGGGAGAAAAGCTGGAGTTAAAAAATAAAGCCCAACCCCTCGTCACCACCTCCCCACTGCACGTGTCAGTAAAGAAAAGCTGCCCAGCCCAGCAGGTACCTGTGGCATCCAGGAAATGGCAAAGTGAACAGGAAAATCCACGAGGCAATCTGGTGGTTCTGTGGGATACTGAGGGAGGGAAAGAAAATACAGGTTTTTCGTTTCTTTTTTTTTTTCCTCAGTGATTTAAAGTCAGACCGATACTCAGCTGCCCAATTTGATAACAAAATACAAGCACTTCGAGCATCTTGAGGACCTGGTTTTGAGAGGAAACAGTATGTGAAGCATTTTCAGAAATAATTAGGAATGTTAATTATCATTTAAAGAAGAACTCTACATGTAAATGCTTTTAGTAGTAAAGGCAAGAGAGTCCCAGGTTTTTGTGTTCAGTGGTCACAAGGACATATTCAAAAAAACCTTAAGGCAAAAAACATCAATTTTTTTTTTTAATTTCTCCTCAATTACCTGTACTGGGATAGGAAAATATAGAAACCCAAAAAACCCTTTCATGAATCAACAACTAATTTCCATTTAAACAAAACTATTTGCTCTGATTGGCAAAATTTTATTTTTAGAAACTGAAAGTAATCTGAGTAAGCACGAAACTATTTAAAAAGAGATAAGTCAACACACACCTGAAATTAAAACAAGCCCTCAGTCCAAATTAAAATATATCTGAGAAAAAAAAAAAAGCTGTATTAAAAAATCCTTAAGTTATAAAAGGTTTGATAACTCCAATCAGAGCATATCAATGATATCTTAGGTTATTAGTTACAACCAAATATGTATGTCAGAAATCATGCTATTATTCTTTAGAAAAATTTAAGCTATTAATAAACAAAAAACTTATACTGGATTTCTAAGCATGCAACTAACTTCATCTGGAGAAAGCATTTTCAGAACCCTTGCCAAATCATTCAGATAATTACCACAGTGTCTTAATTACTACATGACATGCAAATCCTTGCAGTGGCCTGTTTGAATCCTTGGGGTCTGAAATGCTCCCAACACTGACCTTAATCAAAGAAAGAGAATAACAAAAATACCCATCCTTTCATTAAAGCAGGTTATCAAAAGAAATTCCTTAAAATAAATACTTCAGCTGAGCCTTTTCAAACGTATTAGATACGTGCATGAAGGAAAAATCAAACCTCCAGGTCACCAAACCCACATTTCACATACAAATTTTGTCTGGTGAGTTTAAATGCCAGACGTGGTTTAAAAAGGACAAGGGATCGATCCCTCATCACAACAAACACTTGGAAACAAAACAAAAACAAGGAAAGAGAAAAGAGATGGATGGTTACTTGTTTAAACACACAAGTCAGATAACCTGGTCCTTTTATTACATATATCCTTAGCTGTTAGATGATCCTTTCTTCTGCTGTGAGGAGGAGCCAGATATTTTACAGCAATAAAGAAAACACCAGTTTTTACAAGGACATAAAATGGGAATCTCCATTCTCCCTGAGGACAAGTTAAGGCTGAACAGAACCAACCTCAGTGTCCCAGTGTTTGACCATGGCTTGGTAAAAAGGAGCATTGCACTGTATTTTTTTTTTCTGCACTTTTTTACTTCCAAATAGTTAAAACACTTTACTCCTGTTGTCCCAAGAGCAGGTAAACCTTAGAGGTAACAGGCTGCACCTAATTCCTAGTGTCACATTCAGTGTGGGAGAGCAGCTCCCCTATAAACAACACAGGCTGGTGACTCTTGTTGAACACTAAATAGCCCATAATTGTACTTTCTGATGGATTTTTTTCCATCAGTGTATTTAATAATGGACTGACTAGCAAATGAATTATGCATTCATTACTCTGTGCATGTAGGATAATTTTACTCTTTTTAAAAATCCACTTGAGCAACCCTCGATTCCCAAACAGTTCTTTTTCCATAGGCTCCTTTTCCCCCTCTAAGGGATTAGCTCATCTTATGTAAGAGTAAAAAACTCACTGTATTTAAAGAAATATGGGATGCTTGAGAAAGTGAAACCTAATCCTACAATGGGCACTCCAGAGGATGTATCAAACCAGAGGACAGTCCCAAACAACAACATTCAGACACTTTTGGATCCACTTTTTCCCCTGGACTGATTTTCTGAAGACAGACAACAGCACTTGCCATGCAATTGTCACCACACAGCCTGGACAGTCACAGCCTCAGCTGAGAGATTTATGCCTTGAAGTGAGACATTCTAGGAAGAAACGTTGCAATTCGAGTTCAGTGCTAAGTACCAGGAAGAATTAAGATCTTTCTGTCTCTGCACACACCGTGGATTTGATTTGCAAGTGCTGTCAAAATTAGGCAATTATTTAGACTAAAAAGAAATCATAAATCTTTACACCTACAGCTTTAAAAGTAGGACTTGTTAATGAACAACTCAACATCCTCTAATTCATGTGCTGTACACAGTCTCTGGGTGGTTTGATAATGAAGGAAAGTCTCCCAGGTGGTTTTGTCTGTAATCCAGCAAAATGATTGCAATATCATAAAGTGTTTTTCATGGGATGCACAGTTGCATCTTGCAGACAACCATAATGCAACATTAATTTTAAATATAGTTAAAGTCTGAAAACTCTCTATAAAAAAATTTTTCAACTATTACTTTGCAGAACAGACATTAACAAACAAATCAACTCTCTAAAACAGTTGAGAATTAAGAAAATTTCAAGGAAGCCTGAAGGTGCTTCTCCCACATAAATTTACCTTTGCATTTAACTTGAGAGTGATGAGATGCTGTCGACCACAAGAGTCTTCAGCTTTTAACCTGACTGTGGTAAGCCCAGTGTCCACGTATGCAACTCTGGAAGAGAAAGGAAACTCTTGGAGCCTGGGCAGAAGAGCAGTTTGAGGTGTGCAGTGATTAGTGTGTTACAAATATTAATCAGAGAAGTCCTCCACGCCAGGCAGTTGTGCTGCTGCAGATTTACTGCTGTTAATGCACCGGGCTGGTGCTTAATGCAGCCATATATCTGGGGGTTATTTACAGGCAGTGTCAGGCTCACGCTGTGGTCAGTGAGCACCACGTTGCAGTTTTCCATCACTGGAACCTTTGACACACACAGCATGTTCCTGTCAGCCTCTACTTATGTACACATTAAACTTCCTGTCAACTCTTTGATCCATTTCTGCACTTTCTTACTCCAGGAGACTTTTATGCTCTTGATTTGCTTTGCTCCTCCACGGAGTTCTCTTTTATTATCAATACTGTTACTGGGGGAAATTCAGTGGGCATCGGTTCATATTCTGAAATTGATTTTCGGCAGGAAATAGAGCCCAAACAGGTACAAAATTAGTTATTTATGGTGATTTGCCTTCGTTTCATGACAGCTTTACACTGTGTTCAGGTACCCTAGCAAGCAGCAAGCAGATACTAAATGTAAATAAGTTTTAAAACTTCTGCCAGAATCACTGAGTCTTTGCTTAGGATGGTGCTGATTTGTGCTTCCCACCACGATGAAGATGGATACAACTGTAAAATACATTGTTCTCTAGAAATGGATTCTGCTGAGTAGCTTCAGCAACTGCCAGAAAGGTTCAAACTTCTCCATATACTTACCAGTAAACTGGACACGTGGGTATTTTGGCATTTTTACTATGTCATTCTTGTGTAAAGATAAAAAGCAGTGCAAGATAATTGCCCAACTTATCACCCAGACTGATGGCAAGGCCTATCAGAGTTCAAAGAGAGCATTTCTTGCTGGCCTAAGTAACATTTATTTTTTTAAACCATTGCCTATTATAGACCAGTCACACAATTCTCTCCAGTGAAACTGGAAAGGAGTTGTAGAAGCTTGTATAAAAAAAGGAGATGTACACCAAAGGGTGGGGCACAGCCCTAGAAGGAAGTGAAAAGAAAATTCCTCAATGTGAGGGAACTGAAAAATCCAGATGGAAAAAGCAATAGTAGTAGTAAGAGGGGAAGGAGAGAGATTATTTCATGTTTAATCCTGATTAATGCAATATTAGAGTCCTGGAGACTTCTGTATTTGTGTTGAAAGAAAGACAAATCTCGACAGAAGTGTGACTCAGCTGTAGTCAAACTTGATTTTGGAGCATTCTTCCTCTAACTGGGAAAAAAAAAAAATCATTACTCCCACTTTGCTCCAAATTGAATCACAGAGGTTTAGAAAGACAAGAAACTACCTGTCTCCCACCCTTGCATCTGCTGTTGCCTGGGGTGGGGAATTCCTAAAGCAGCAGTTGGATACTGAGGTGGAACACACAGCAGTGCCCAGAGCAAAGCCCAGCTGGTGCCTGCAGCACTGGGAGGCTCCACCCCAAAGGAGAACAGAAAAATTAAGGGGACACTGTCAAAGTGTTTGGGGTTTTAAGTTCTCTCTTCTGCCATTCATCTTGTTTGGCCCACTCCATTCTTTATTTATAGGAAAAGTATGGGTTATTTTAGTTTAAAATCAAACATTTTGTAGTTTCTTATTCTGCATCATGTGGGAGGGAACCAGATTAAAAATTGGGTTTATTTCTTAGCCAGCAATGGATATACATATCCTAATATTTCTGAAATCCTTAAGTGTTCAGTACCTTCATAATTAGTTTAGCAACCTGACAACCTCTAGAATAAATATATGTACTAGTGAGCACACGTATATATTTTAAAATATATTAAAATACAGTGAGAATATGTTCACTCATATTTGTAAAGAATCTTCAAATTCAGTTTTATTGACAGCAGACAAACTTCAAAAAAACAAAAGCAAGCATTTGGAGAAGGTGCTCAGAGCACTAATAATGGCTGCCTGGTTAATTATTTATAGAGGGATGCATCAAAGTTCTGTTCATTTTCCAATTTTTAACTTATTTATAGGTTTAAAATTCCAGTTCTGTAGGACTGGAGGAAGTTGGACAATGCTGTAAAAGTCCTATAAACTTCTTCCCGTGCTTGTATAAACACATAAGGAGCTGTTTACACAGGTGATATTTCAGTTATACAAACTTTTGTTCCTCTGTAGGATCCATCATTTCATCATTTGACAGCAGTGAAATTCGAGTTGAGGATGGCACAACTACATATGAACAGTGGAAATCACTGAAAGAAACTTCAGCTGATTTAACAAGGATGTTTTAACTCTATAAATGAAAGTGGGCCTTCAAAGCAAATTCCTACTTCATGTTAATCCCATGTTATTTGTGATTAATACATTTATCATGTTATTTATATGCAAATCAGGTGGGAAAACTCCAAACTGTTCTCACACCTAAAGCTTCTTGATTTCATTTAGCAAAATATACACCTGTTACAGGAACATTACCACACAGGACTAAGGGGAAAGCAGATTTGCCTCATGGAAAAGCACAAATACAGGCTTTTATTTAACTTTTATTTTACTGAAACAATAAAGTAGCTTCTCGTTCAAAGCTCTGCAACATCTTCACATTCCTAGAGAAGGTTTGAGGGGAAAAACCTTGTTTTCCTCTGTAGGAGGGTGAATTAAATTTGCTCTATGAGCTCACCTGAGAGTATATGTTACTGCAATGTTCTTATGAAGTTCTGGATTTACAGCTTTCCAAATTCTCCCCTCCACTCACATATTTTTTTTTTGGTAGATTTACCTTTCTGTGGGTTAAATATATCACATTTTTGCCTAAGGAGATCCTTTTGCTATGCAGAGCAAAATAGAACTGTTCTTTAAAAATAACTGTTCTAGTTCTAAAAAATGCATGAACTGATTTTATGAAAGCACAAAGGTACACGATGATCAACCACTGCCTGTGGGGAGAGTCAAAAAAAAAGCCTTACAAGGAAAGGAAAAGAAGGGAAAAAAAGAGAACTACAAACACTAACAGTAAATATATTTACTATATCAATAGTTTATAGGTCAAGAAGAATTGATTTCTTAGTAGTAGCATCTCACCTTTCAGCTCAGTTATTTGAGACAGAAAATACACCCTCAGTTGATACAGGTTTGTTGTGTTTGTTTTTAATTAAAAACAAATCAACGGGGTTTTTAAAGCAAAATCAGATTCCGAACGGGGTAAATTAACAGAACAAGTACATTTGATATGTTCAACTCACCAAAAAGGAATGGATGTGTGAAGGAATAATGGATTGTGAAGAAACAAAATAAACATACTTGTTCCAGCCCAGTATTTCCAGATCTCTGACAAGACAGGAGTAGTATTCTGGTGGCCGTGGTATGTGCAGGTCTTGTGTGTTCTTTAAAGCAATTTCCTGTTTAAAAGAACATTAAAAACATCATTAAGAGAGATTTCAATATTTTTGCATCTATTTAGCCATGTGATTTTTGCAATTCAATCAAAAATATTAAGCTTATGTAAAATTAACTGTACACTGCATTTGTTTTGTTACAGCCTCCAGCTAAAGCAGACAAAGAGGCTGTTTGGGAAATTACTTCAGATACTGGTAATGAAAACATCTGCAATTTAAAAAAAAACCCCACAGATGTTGACAGCACAGTCTTCAGATGCAAATATCAAATGTGCCTCTTTTTCAGCTAATAAATTTCAAGTCAAGCATCTCAACTGAATGAACATTTCAAAAGAAGGTTCTATTAAGCCCACAGCTGCCTCCTGGGCTCCACAGCCACAAAAGAAGATACATCTATGAAATCCCCCATCATATATATATATATATAAACTTTATACAGCAATCAAAAAACAAAATCCATTTCTCAGTTTTAATGCCACAGAATCCCAAAGAATAAGTTTTGGTGCAGACAGTCATCCAGCATGTTGCAATGCCTCAAGAAGTTTTTATCAAAAAGGTAATTCCACGTTATAAAATCAAATCATGTTTCACATTGGCATTGTGAGACTTGTTCTTTGAAAGTGTTCTTAAGTTAAAATTATGCTTACAGGAGAAGTAAACTGATGAAATTTAGAATAAAATCATTAAATTAAAATAAACTGAATTTAAATAAAAATATAACTTATAATAAAACAAGTTCAACCATCATTGCTGTCCAGTTCTCCTACACTATGTTTTTACTCTCTGCACTATCTGAGGATCATCATTTTGACTGAATTATACTTTCACTGCATCCTCATTTTCTGAGTGCTTGTGTATCCAGGCAAATGGATCAGAACAACTATTGTGAAATATTCCAAAATAAACATCCTCACTCAGTCCTATTCCAAGCACAGCAGAGCAGCAGCACCAGGAGGGAGTTGTGTTGCCATTTTGAAGAATACTTCTTGTGCTTTATTCCTAAAGTTAAGCTGGTTGGATGAAGAATTGCTCACCAAGAATGTTTTACTACCAGACAAGAATTGTCTGTGTAATGTTGTTAACCAAAGATTTTGCTGCTCTTCAACCCCAGACTTGAAAATCTTTTAAAAGAATCAAATGCAGCCCCTGAACTATAAAAAAAGCTCTGTGCATTTACTGGTCGAGTTGTCACAGGTGAAAGCACCTTCAGCAATCCACTGACTGCATAAGGCTTTGTATGACTGCAACCTTCACCATCTGGACAATCCCAGGAATTCCAAGAAAATCACTGTAAAGAGGATGGCTCTATACTGAGACTCCTTGCTGGGATTTCCATTTTTCCATAAAAATTTCCCAAGAACACAGTCACTTAAATGATATTTATACAAATATTACATGACCAGCACACATACAAAATCATCTCTTCTTAAAAAAAAATCTATCCATAGCCATAAATCTATCAAACAGTAACCTGTAAACCAATGAGAGTGAGACCCAAAGCTCTCAGAACATCCCATCTCCCACAAATATATTTTGTCACCTACCAAAACAGTTCTCAGCTCCACCATAAGACTGACAAGATCTGGGCAGCTGTGGAGCCTCTGCAGGAAACACAGCATTAGTTCATTTTCTTCAACTCATAACTCGTAGCAGTTCAGTCCAACTTTGTAGTATTGTCAAATCAACCAAGATAAAAAACCCCAACTGTATGTCACAAGTTTAAATATTTCAGTTACAGAGCAGATCTCCCAGAGCATGGGAAACTACCAAAAAAACTTTACTTGGCTGTATACAGGGTGAACTAGGCCTATCAATAATTAACATGAATTCTCTTCTTTGCATTATGAACAACTTGTAAAAAAATAAAGATATAAAAAAGACAAACTCTGTTTCTAATTGAGAGGTTAAAGGAAAAATTCCAGTAAAATGTCAGCAGTCATTTATTAATAATTGTTCTAGCTCAATCTTGAAAAACAGGATAAAGCTTGAATAAAAATAAATATTTACTAAATTCTCAGGCACTTGAAAATAAATCTTGGTTACACAATGAAAGGAGGGTTCTTTAATGCTTTTAGAATAGTTGTATGAGCATAACCTCTTCAGAAATACTATAAATATACATTTAAGGATGTATTTGAAAGAAACGGTTTTAAACTTGTATACCTGCTTTAAAATATGCTGATATCGATGCAGGATCTTCTTCAGACTCCAGCTGCACTCTATCCTGGACAAACAGTAATTTAGATAAATCTTAAATTCACAGTACAGGATTTTTAAAAGAGAGCAGAAAACCTGCTGCACACAAACAGCACAACAGTTTTCCTCAAAAAAAACCCACAGGAAGTAAACAATACTTCAAAACTGCTTTGAGTTTCTTGTTCAAAGTTACTTAAAACTTCCAAATGTCACTGGCCCAAAGCCCATTAAAAATTAAGCATTTACCTGCAAAAGCTGGAGACAGCAACATAATTCTTGCAAGCTACTGTGCCTTCATAAAATACACTTATATTTAAAAGTGATAACCTGGAAATGTCAAAGTTACCTATAATGCAGCTTTAATTACCCAACCTCGAGTGTAATAAAGCCATGGAACACCCCATCTGCTCACAGTTCAGAGGGGCTGGCCCGGGCACAAGTGTGGAATTACAAAGTTAAAGGCTAATCCATGGATGTGGATGAGCCCCTTCCACCCCCCTTCCCTTCCACCCCCCTTCCCACACTCTGCTGTGATAAACACAGTAATAAGAGCAGAGCTTTGAGAGAAAAGTTGGGGAGTGCAAATTAACACACAACCAGGAAAGAGAAAATAAGCACAATTTTGCACTGGATTTTCTGTTTCCCAAACTGGGACATATAAATAATCTAAGTAACTTTTTTTCCCCCCGAATACGTTGCTTCATATGTAAATACAACCAATTAATTGCAACCAGTTTCAAAGTTAATTAACAACAAAATATATTGATGTATGCAATGTTTATTGTCAGCATTTACTAAGACTGATGCCGTGCAGTTTTGTTGCAAAGTCAAGTTGAAACCAGTAAGAATTAATTAATAACACTGATACTGGAGGAAAGAAGGATTCGTGTGCATGTCCATCGTTGATTTTATCAAAATAAACTTTGTTATATCACACTTACAAATTGCTTTTGTAAAACTCTCTCACCTTGCATTTTTCAGCTGCAAATCCTCTGGTAACAATACCCTGATGTGGAAATCTCTACCCTTGAAAAGAAACAGTCAATAGGAAGGTCAGCAAAGAAAAATATTAGAGGCTTCTGGGAAGTGTTCCCCATCAGAACAACTACTAAGAAACTTTGTCTTATCTGATTTTCAGGAACATTATTCAGAATTTCTTTATTTAGGGATAAAAAGAAGCATGAATGACAGGTAGAAGCAATGCAGGCTTTAATTCTGAAGTTGAAACACTCTTGATGTTTAATTCACAATATTCAGTAAAAACTCTTCAGGACATCACATCTCATAAAGCAAAAATAACACCTTTCAGAAGAAAAATAAACATTATCTAAATCTGGACAAAACCAAAAACCATAATTTAATCCAAGTCATGCTGCAGTACATGAAAGTCTGTCTTCAACTCAACTAAAAGACAAAACAGACTCATGTCATAAAAGTACTCTACACTAAAAAGAAACTTGGGCACTGATCCACAGCACATTCCAGCGAGGTTTTAGAAGCTGTAAACAAAAACAATCCCAAGCACACGAATGAAATTTTTTTTCCTCTTAGTTCAATCCATAGGGGGCAGCTCCCAAATGCCACCCACTTGTGCTTTCAGTCCCTCTTGAGATCTTCCTTCTGCTTTCTTATGGGATGATCAAACCAAAACTGGCATCAAGAAGGTTTGTGAGCAGGTTCAGCTCCTCCCTGAAGCAAAGAGGGCAGATAACTCATGCCAAAACTTTAATTCCAGATGCTGTTGCAGCTCAGCACACTTTGAAGGATGGAGTGCTGGGTCCCCAGCACAAGAAAGGTTTGGACATACTGGAGGAAGTTCAGTGGGGAGATATGAAGGTGATTTAGAGCTCAAAGCACCTCTGACACCAGCAGAGCCAGAGGGAGCTGGGACTGGGTAGCCTGGAGAAAAGAAGGATCAGGGAAGGATCCTGTCAGTGAGTACAAATACCTAGTGGAGGAGCAATAAAAAAGGTGTAGCCAGATCTGAGTGACACACACTGACAGGATGAGAGGCGAGGGATATGAGCTGAAATACAGGAGATTTCACCCAAATGCAATGGAAAAACCTCAGTAACAATGAGAGGAGTCAAAGACTAGAACAGGCCATCCAAGAGGTTGCAGAGTCTCTGTGCTTGGAGATCTTCACAACCTGATTGCAAACAGTCTTGAGCTCCAGGTGATCCCGGCAGAGGAACTCCAGAGGTTCCTTTCAACCTCAGTGTTTCTGTGATGCTCATGAGGAAAAAAGCAAGGTCCCTGTTTCAGGGCTGAATAGAGCCCACTCACCAACAACACCAGTTGCTTCCAAAGGTGATGTTTAGTGTAAGCCTAATTTAAGTACATAACCTCAGACATCACAGCCTTAGCACTCATTAAAAATCACCTCTGAGAACGGACACTCACACCTGTATCTTAACCTTCCCCTTAATTCCAGGATGAATTGTAACACACAGAGCCCTTCCAAAGCCGCAGCTGTTAAAGTATTGCAAACACAAGCACACCTTTGCACATGTCTAGTGAAATTTGAATAAAAAAGTCACCCAAACCCCTTTGGATTTTGACCACAAAACTACAATTCTGACCACGCGAGTGTGACACAGCCCACACCTTTCGACTTTTACTTATTTTTAGAGGAAGAGGAAGCCACACTACTTCTAAATTAAAACACGCCTGTTCAGAGCTGTGTCTGTGTGATATTTCAGTGCTCCAGGGCCGCCGGGTCACCGCACAGTGCCTGTGATGGCAGAGCTGTGCTGAGAGCAGCCCTCTGCTCCTGCCTCAGGAGCTGTTCTGCTCCCTGCACCGCGTTTACCACATCCTGAGGGACGATGCCGCCGCTTCAGCTGAAGCCTCACAAGTTAAGTGAAAGCAAAACACCCCCCGTCAGACATTTGCGTCAACTTTTACCACAGGCCGCGGGCGCGGGCACATTCAACGTGCCCCAAAAACATCTTTTGGCAGCGCAACAAACCCAGCCCGGGAGGTACCAGGGAGCCATTTTCCGGGCAAAAGTGGGAATCTAGCTAAGTAAAAATACTGTAATATCAGGGACGGCGGCAGGGTCCCTCACGGCAGGGAAACGGCATTTCCAGACCCACATTCCCGGCGGCTCCGCCGAGAAGCCGCCAGCCCTGGCACGGCGGGAAAGCGCTGCTCCCTCAGACGCGGCAGGGCGGGAAGCGCCTCCCCCACCCCGCCTCACACCTGGGCCGCGGTACCTGGGCGGTGACGAAGCCCTCGTAGGCGGTTCCCCGGCGGTTCTGAGGCAGCAGCAGCGGGAATTGCCGGAGCAGCGCCCGCGATCCCGCCATGTTCCCGCCCGGCGCCGCCGCCGCCGCCGCCGCCGTTCGAATGCGAGGCCCCGCCCGCGGCGGCGGGCGGCGCACGCGCCTGAGGGGACGGGAGGGCGGGGTGGGCCCGTGAGGGGAGGAGCCGGAACCTGAGGGGGAGCGAAGAGTGAAAGGAGCGCACCTGAGGGGAGGAGCGCACCTGAGGGGAGGAGCGCACCTAAAAGGACGGCACCTGAGGGGAGGAGCGCACCTGAGGGGAGGAGCGCCTAAAAGGACGGCACCTGAGGGGAGGAGCGCACCTGAGGGGAGGAGCGCACCTGAGGGGGGATGAGGGGAGACGCGCGGAGGCGCGCGTGCCGCTGAGGGGAGGAGAGTGCACCTGAGGGCGGGGTGGGGGAAGAGCGCGTGCCGCACAGGGGAGGCGCGCGCGCCGCGCTGAGGGGCCTGCGCGTGCCGCTGAGGGGCAGAGCGCGTGCCGAGGGCGGGAAACCGTGAGGGAGAGACCGCCACACACACACACACCCCACACACACACCCCACACACACACCCCACACACA